ATAGAAAGAGGGGGAAAAAATCAGAAGAGGAATTAATAAACGGCAACTGGAGTTTATAAGCCACAGCCCAATGTTGCCATCTCTCCCTCTACTCTCAAATAGGACAAGAGATTAGAGGGATAGAAAGAGAATCAGGCTGTGGAAAGCAGTAGGTCAGTACTTTCCCAGAAAATTTTTCAGGATATTTTTTCTTTTTTAGTCATGAATTCTCTTACCTGGAATATTATCAAGGATAAAATTACTTGCAAATGAAAGATACTATTATTATATTGTTACATAAACTTTCCCACATTCCTCCTAATTGAACAAGCATGCACAAATGTAAGGCTTCACGTAGAGAGATGGGAATCCATGGGAGAACCATCTTCCACAGTGTATAGAAACCACCTTTGTTGCATAGTGACACAAAAGGGAGCTGTGGAGTACAGAGTTAATAGATTCGACTAGTCATAGCACACATCTTCTACCTTCACCTCTCCCTAAGAATGTCAGTTCAGACCAGGGATATTCTCAATAAACGGGGCTATGAATGTTGATTTCCTAAGAAGGCCTAAATCGTGCCAGACTTAATGTCAGTCTCTATCTTTTAAATGCAATCGCAAATATTGGTAAACATGGAATGACAGCATTTTGATGACTGACATTCTCTTTGTCACCATTTGGAGAAAGAGGTTATGGCTTATTGACTTAAGTGAGGGACTGGAGTCAAACAGCTTAGGTTTAGACTTAAGTTCTGACATAAATTATCTTGGTAAGCTTGGGTAAGGTTTTTTAAGCTTTAGTTTATTCACGATTTAAAAGAAGCAGAAATCTTCCCTATTTAATAGTGTTGTGAGGATTTATAGAGATAAGTCACATAGTGTAGTGAATGGCCTGCATGGGACATTCAGTACTTGTTAGTCTGCAGTATATTTGAAGAAAATGGTATCTATTATGGTATTCATTTTAAGTTAAATTGGTTCACTGTTTCTCTTCAGGATTTTAAAGATACTGGCTTGGTACATGTATTGCTGAAGTAGTATGAAAATTACAAAGAACATATGGTAAAAATGAAAAGTCATACCATAAATTTCTAAATAGTAGCCTTTTTAATGCTGAGTTTAAAATATGGTTTTTCCTAAGAGTCCTAAATTCTTGAAAAAAAGAAAAAAAAAACTATTGTAATATAGACAAGTTTATTACTTTAAAAATGCACTATTCATATCTATGAATTGTTAAGTATTACATTTGTAAATGTAAATCTTGATAAGTAGACAGCATCTTATCCCAGTTTATGACTCAGTGCACAGTTAAAAGCAACTGTGATTCTCTAAACAACAATAGAAGGGTTCTTTTGTTTTATTCAAATAATATTTCTTAAATATAAATTTCATTATTTTACAATTGCATGAGGTTAGACTCTTTCATTCTAAAAAGAAAAAGAAACCACAGACCGGGGGCTTGCAAACAGTATTTGAAAGAGAATATTACTGAAATATTTTTATGGTCTTACAATCTTAAACAGTGTTATAAAGATCAGATTGATAAATAAAAAAAATAAAGGAGTCTCTTTAATTGTTCTCTTAGAAATCAATTATTTTAAAAATTACAGAAATTTTAGCTTATATATATATATTTGTATACTTAGAAAACTCATGTGCTCAATCTCAATATTACAGGGTAGCTAGGTTTGCTGTAGCGTTAACATCTTTTTTCCAGTATTAATAACCTTGATGTATAATCTATTTCCAAATAATTAAATTTGTAATTAATACTAATGATATATATTAAAATGATATAAATTTTTAAGTTAATCAAGTGTAATTCATAATTGATATTAAATCACCTAATGAGTTATTTTTATCTGTAATTCTTGGAAAGAGTTATGCTATTATTTCCTCCTCCATTCCAATTTCCTGACCTAATCAACCTAGATTTACAAACACCAGTGTAAATAACAAACACTCATAAGCCCCTTTTTCTGATACTGCACTTTGTGCATTTGAAAATCACCTTTCTTCAGAAGAGAGAGTTAAGCTTATAAATATCTGGCTACTTAATCATGACATTGTCCTTATGGAGTGTCTGTATATCAGTGCCTCCCTCATTAGATTTTCAAGAAGATGTGAGTTGACAATGATATTTCTGTATATCAATAGGAAATTTAAGATATTTTTATATTTTCAAAATTTTATTTGGCTTTTTTATAGAGCCCTGGAATACTAGAATGAATATATATAATTAAGATATATAATTATTTTAATTATTTCTTTTAAAAGTAAGTTCAGATGGAAATGCTTTCAAATGATCAATGTGAATATTCTCTACAGGGTTTGGAGTAGGATGTGAAATAGTTATCTACTCTAAAATATTTTATATAAACTTAATAGATTAAGGTCGGTCTACCAAGTGACCAAGTAAATATACATCAACATATATCAAAGCAAAGTTTGACTTATTATATAACATGACTTCTTTTTCAGTGTTTTGGATAATGCCTGTAATATTTAGGCCACCAAAGGCTTAGGACAAGCGTGCTGGAACACATGCATATACATAGAAGTTGAGATCAAGAGGATTTTATGACTTAATATGTTATTATAAACCGAAAAAAAGAGCAATATATAATGGTGATATCCTTTATGGATCTTGACCATTTTGTCTTTAGCAATTTCCAAAAACAACATTTTATCTTTTTAATGTTAAAACAAATGTGTATGCAGATGTTAAGAGCATCCAGGTGGTTCTGAATTACAGAATCTGCTTTGACACATTAAAAAAGCTAAGAATAATTTCATGTAGTGTATTAATTTGATATTCTAATGTAATTGCCATGTAAGAAAATATATGAGCAATTCCTAAATCTCTTATATGTAACAGTATACTATAGTCAGGCAGAATATGTAGAGAAATGGTACTGACTGATTTGGAATCGACATTATAAAGGTTATGTATCTTTATTGTTTATTTTCAAGAAAGCTGCTTGAAAACACCAGCTTAAAAACTGATTCGGTCTATTTCAACAGAGCAAAGTTTCCTTAAATTGGCTTTCAAATTTCTCATGAGAGTTTGGAAATAATGTTTAATGATTAACAACATATATCTATATCTAAATAGTTTCAACATAAATCTATATATTTATCAATATATATCTATATGAAAAGAAAAATATTTATAATCATCAGGCTAACTATATGGTTGCAACCTAATTTCTCCTATTGAGAATAAAACACAGTTGGAGAAATCCATTGTTTCTTCCAGCCTTCTCCATGTACCCTCTTTAATTACAAGCCTCTAATAGTTCTTTTCCACTTGAGAAGTCCAATATAGAGGCCAACAGCCACACGTCCAAGGAAGGAAAAATTGCTTATATTTTTAAATGCATTTTTGACTTCACCATTGAGAAGTGACACATTTATTCTTTAGCTGGAATTTCACTGAAATCTAAACTTACTAGATTTTGCTTTGTAAGTACTAAAATAGACAAGGAAAGAAAAGAAAAAGGGAAAAACCTTTCATTTCTTCTGAATATTAGATGAACTAACTTGTGGTTGTTTTTCCGTCAGAAAGAAAACAGGGTGTATGCACAGCAGGTACTGGAATAGGATTTGCAAGTCAAAGGATTTCACTTAGGTAGGAAATTCCCTATGTTCCCTCCACCATGCCCAAAACATTACTTCTCCAATTATCTTTGCCATCAGACTATTTTGACCATTCAATCCTACTTTTTTTCACTTAGGAAAAAAATCATCAAAAAAAGTACACTGAGCTCAAAGTCAGTAAGAAAGTCTGCTCATACTACTTGTCAGAAAAGATATTAAATTTGGCCGGCAATGTTTATCTGGAAGTGAGTGGCACAGACACTAACAAAATAATTATAAATGTTTTGAATACCACATGGGGCCAGCCAGCCATGTGACAATTATATTTCGTGGGGAACATCTAAATCTCATTTTATTTTTCAACAAAAATTTAGGAAATTTTTGCTTTACCCACACAGAGAGTGAGAATTGTGATGGAAATAAATATTCTGAAAAAAGTTGATAGATACATGCCTGAAAATATCAACCCTTTCCTTCTTAGGGAAAAGTGTAAAGCAGCATCCACATAGCAATTTAGTGTGCTCTAGACTCCTAGTTTGGGTCAAGTATGCATGGAACAAAATATCTATAGGGCGAATCGTGCTGGGGCACTCACTGGTATCGTCATGAAGCAGTAAGATTGGGTGTCTAGTCTTCTTCTTCCGGAGAAGAAACTTCGATGCTACAAGAAATTGGATCTGGTCCCTAATGAGTCTCTTCTCTACCAACCTGTCTGCTTTCATTTTACTTTCCTGAAAAAAGAGGCCCTAATGTGGATGTGGCCAGGATGCAATGGCTGTAATACTTGTGTTCTCTAGCAAGAAAACCGTCCAATGTGGTCATAGAGGTGATATTTTGGATGAAACCAGATGGCAAGTTCAATTGAAGGTAACTTGTCACCAAGTTATATATTTATGAATACATAAATCCTAGCTAGCAAGAACCTAGGATGGCTAATGATTCAAGCTAAAGCTCAATCAGTCCTTGCCTTTGGACTACATATTGTTGGCACATTTAATTTTTAATAGAAATTAGAATAGGCTCACCTTTCCATCAGAAGCTGGCCTTTTCACGCCATTCCAAAAGGTTCTTTTCTGAGCTACTGAGAATACCAGAAAGGAGAATAGATGTTAACTAATTCCATAGATATAACCTACAACTATTTCCAAAGCCTGTTATAATACTATGATTTGGGAGGTAATGGAGTGGTGACTGTAGTAGGACTGAGTTCGGCATATCTCACAGATGGTAAGTGCTTACCAGTTTTTACACACAAAGTATATGAGCATGCTCGCACGTGCGCGCGCACGCACACACACAAACACACACACACCTGGGCCTATGTCTACCTGCCCCAATTGACTGATCAATTCAGTCACTTCAGTTAATTAACTCATCAGGTGACCTGAATTTTCAATTTTGACCATCAAGTGGAAAAAACATTTGTCAGTTTGGTAGCTTCTTGTTGACAGTTGGCAACAGTGCCCCTACATGTCCTCCTTCCTCGGCGTGAACTATATCAATGCTAAGATTCCTATCCTAAGGAGATTTTGATGATGACTAGTAGAGGCAGCCCAAGCGTGAAAAAAGAAAATGTTTTTGTGTACTAGAAGCATTATTATCCTCTTAAGAACAAAGTAAGCTTCCTCTCCCATCTGTTTCTGGCACAAAGCATTATCAGGACCAAAATGATACTCCATCTGCACTTTCATTCGCAAATGCCTTGATGATGACAATGAGTTTATCAGAAGACAAATAAATAGTCAAAACTTTTTTAAGAGTAGGGTAAGGTTTTGCAAGAATAGTAAACTATTACTTTGTAGAGCTAAAGAATGAGCAATCCCCTCTCCCCATACACACTCAAAAAATCCCAGCTTAATATTTAAAAATCAAGGAGCATTGAATTTAACATGTACATTATAGGAAAAAATATCACATGATAATTTATTGAGTGAAAAAGGTGCCTTTTCATTCCATTCTACAATAGATTGTGCCAAGAGTCGTTTTGGAGGAAAGTGCAGCGTTTGGAAATTGTTCCTCATGCAGTCACTCAGGACATTTTATCTAAAAGTGCATGCACAGATTCAAACAATTACAAACTATTTCTGTTACAATTTCAAGCAATTTTCCACACACTATACTGTGAAAGCACTTCAGCTTTGAACAACTTGTCAAGGTTGACTACATGCACATATATATTAATTTTTTGAAAAGACAACAATTTAGAGTATGAAAATATATAAGCAGCATTCATGTAATACAGAATTCCTGAGAACAGTGTGTGCTATATAAATCTTTGAGAAATAATTTGTATTCATATGAAAACCATGATATAAAACATTTCTCTCAACTAAAGTAGAGTGATCTAAAACTGACATACTCTGAAGGGCTGTCACTATTTTCCTGTTAACAATGATGAAAGAATAGCCAGATTCTACTGCATTGTTTCACAGAAGGAAAAGTTCGGATTTTTTTTCATTGTTTCTCCAATTTTCCATCAGTTTCAAATAATATCAGAGAAGGCATTTTCTAAATCAATGTATTATAATTTTTTAATTAAAAATGTCTTTCTCTTTTTATATTTTTCTCTCTAGGCAATCAATATGATTTTTAAACTTTCATAGTATTTATATAAAAATAACTCAGAAAGAGAACTCTCAAAGGTACAGTTATCATCATTCTTTGCTCTATCATTAAGACAAATGTCTTTGTCTCGTGTCCCAAATGTGGAAAAGACACAAATGTCAGGTTCATCAGGTAGAGAGAGTATTTATTCTCAGGCATATGTATACATTTGACTAACGAAAAAGAAAATTAGATGCTACGAAAAATGAAGGCGTTTAAAACTCCTTTGTTGACTCAGTGGAATTAAATGCCATAACTAACCAGGTGGCAAAAAGAGAACCTTTCTGAAATCCGACTGGAAGAGTCACATGTGGCAAGAGTATGTGAGGAATGTTTAGAGTCTGGTGTCCTTTTTGCTCAGAATCAGAAAACAAGTAGGGAAGTGATAAAAACAAACAACTATAATTATCAGTTTTTCCCTAGAAAGAGAGAAAAGTAAAAAGACAAAAACAAAAACAAAACAAAACAAAAATTCTTCAGTGTTAGAATTATAAAAATAGTTTTCCCAGTAAGAGAAATTATAATTTTCTTGCTAGAGAAACCCTAGCATTATAGAAAGTGCTTTAGTTCCACTGTGTTCAATCTGGTCCTTATAGATTTTGGAAAAAAATTGTGCTTTGTTCAATAGAACAAAATTAATTGGACAAATAATAATAATAATAATAATAACCACATATATGTATGAATGTGTGAGTATGTGTTATTCCTCACCCCATTCCCAGTAGAGGAAAACTGAGATTACTTTTGATTGTTTTACAATGAAAAGTGTCTTGATTCCTACCTTACACTTCCTTAATTCAACTCTTTTCTTTCTTCCCATCCTGCCCCCAGAGCTTATGCCTTCACCAGACTTTCTGTAGTTGAATGTCCCATCCATCCCACCTCTTCCATCTGTGAATAGTCACACTCACAGATACTGAGTTGACACTGAAATAGCAACTCCACAATAAAGCAAAGTGATATCTTTCACAATTGATTTGCCTTTGTTTCTAGAGAGTTTTCAAATATAAATCAAATCAATCTATCAAAGACATAATAACAGAAAACTCCCTTCAGTGGTGAAAAGAAAGTAAAACTCAAAAATATGTATGCTGTTTGTACAAAAAACATAAATTTCTATTCATGCATTGCTTTCATTAGCAAGAGTGCACATTGTTGGAAAAGCATGAGTTGCAAAGCATCTGGCTTCTGTTTTCCTGAATAAAACAAGTCACATTGGCTTACTGTGTAACTGGTCTTGGAGCTGCATAAACTATAACTTGCATTACATATAGTCAAGGTGTAGAGGTCTAAGAAAAACCAACATATTTACAGCATTTCAAATTCTGTGAGCATTGATGGAATAAAACAGTAAGGAAAAAATTTAATGTACTATAAAACTGCCTTCCACAGTAACATATGAATTAGTAGTGTTCTAAATAATATGAGAATAAACACCTATATTTTATTTTATAAGTATGTGGCTCTATTGGTATTTCGTAAAAAAAAAAAAAAAAATCCAGTGCAACTGGTTCTGCCAGTGATACAACAGATTTGAATGTAGCCAATGCAATATAATGTTATTTCAATGAATGGTATTCTTTCTGGAATCTCAGATTTTTGGTTGACTAAAGGTGATGTGCAACTCTTCAACTGCATAGTCAATGTAGAGCAGCATAAATTCACTGTGGCACAGATCCATAATCTCAGCAAGAAACCATGGAAACTCCTAATAAACCTGTAAGCTGAAGGGACATGGATTTCTGGCAGCAAAGGCAATAATTGATTTAAATCATTTCTTATAAGTATCTCGACTCAACTCAAGGTTCCAGAGTCAGATTACTATGTGATTACATGCCTGGCTTGTGAACATTTACATGGAAATCTGTCTCTAGAAGCCTCACCATCACCCTTCCTATTACACTACAGTAGATGGAAGATGAAGGTCTCCAAACACACAACTCCCTGAGGCTGGTTCTAAGAATTAGATCCTGGCTTCCTGCAATGGCAACATAACCATTTTTTAAGGTCATGAGTCATCTTTTATTTTCTCCCCACTGACACCCAGAAGCCTGGGTGTTCCAAATCCCAGAGATGGCTGTGATACATTTCCAAGTAGAATATTATACATATGGTATGCCAGGCATGCTTTCCTCCTAGATTTCACCTAGACTTTGAAGTTGCTGTCGTTCCCACTAATAGCATTGCCCCTACTGGGCTACAGGTACCAACTAAGGCCATTCATGGTGAACAGGATGACCACTTTTTCTCCGCTGTTGTTGCAAATGCTCTAGTTCAGCCTCATACATCATTTCTTGGACTAAGTACTTCTCCCGTCGTATTCGGTCATATAGGTTCTTTGGTACATCTGGAATCAGGTATGCGATGAATGACTTGATCCCAAAAACAAGGTGCTGCAAATTTAAGAAGGAAAAGTGGACTTTTCAAAAATTCTGAAATGCTAATTGTAAAACAACAATCATAAACAATGTTGCACTTGCCTCACAATCATCAGAACTTGGTAAGTATCATCTAGAATATTAATATTTTCAAAAATTATATTGGAATACTACTATTGCCTTAAATCTCGTAAGTATTAAGAGAAAACAAAGAATTGTTTCCTCTTTCACAGCCACGTGTTGAAATCACCTTATAAATACTGAATGAATCAAATTCACATCTATAAAATCCTTATATATTATGCAAAAACTATTTTATGTTATAAAACTATTATTATGATATAAAACTATAAAACTATTATGATATAAAACTATTATGATATAATTGTTATACACGGATGAGAAAGACTACATCCGTTGAAATCCCGTGTCTGATAGATGGCAATACACAGTCTACAAACCACATAGAATATAGTGAGATTAGACTCAACCTCTAGTACATACATTTTTCAGAACATCTACCCTGCTAAGTTCTATATTATTATAACTGCTTTAAAAATGTTATGTCTATTACATAATTCTTCTATAATAAAAATATTTTTAAAAATAGACTGACAAAAGTATTATATATATAAAAAAGTAGGAGCAAAAATCAAAATATAATATGCTTGTGGTTAAAAGTACAGATGCTGAATGAGAATGCCTATGTCTGAACCCTACTCTGTCACTCATTAGCTGAGTAACCTTATACAAATCACCTACATTCTCTGTGTCTCACCTTTAAAATAGTGATAATAATAGTATTCTTCAAGATTAGTATGAGGATTAAATGAACAAATTATGTGAAAGGTTTAAAGGAGTACCTGACACAGTATAAGCACTACTTAAATATTACCTCCTATTATTATAAAAGTATCCTTTTTCATGAAGGACTGATCTTTCAGTTTCTCAGAAAATTAAAAAAATCTGATACTATATAGAGTTAGGCAGATCTATGGAAAAAAAAAAAAAACATTTACCTAAAAGAATTTGTGACAATAGTCTCTCTACATGGAAAAGAAGAATTCAAGACACTTTTTAAACTGAGCTTGCTGTATGTATCCTAGGGAACTGCATTACACAATGAATCATAGTAAAACAGGTCATATTTTCCCATAGAAAAGCAGATCAAGAGATTCTTTCCTGGCTATTTTTTCTCTCTGTAATTTTGGCCATAGGAAACAGATACATTCAAAGTTCTTCCATAGACCTTTGGGGACTTTAGAGAATAGATATTCAGTAAATTCCAGTGCCAAGTTCTTCACTATATCAACCTGGTTTGATGCTAAGCAAGGCAATAATTCTTAGCTTCTCTAAAATTTCTTCACGGGACTACAATTAAATATCATTGCATGGCCCTGATAATCAAAATCTATGTACTTTTTATAAAAGTGTTCCCAGGCAACTCTAATTACAGTTGATTGTTCAGAAAATAAGTTTCTCCATCCTGATAAATAGATATGGATTCTTTTAATAGATGATGAAAACCATCCTTTCCTTTTTAAATTTGGTTACTGCGATGCTCAATACTAATTCTCAGTTCAAATGCGAGTAGCTTTCATCTTGGTTTTCTGGTAAAAAGACCCACTAACCTACCTTAACGCTATTCAGCTCTTGCTCTTCCTGGCACTGGTTATAGCAATTTCATATTTCATAAGGGACTGGGATACACTCAAGTCCCTTTTTGGAAGTCAGTAAGGAACTGACTTCAAAGAGGCAACTACTGTATCAATTGGAAAAGCGCTTACCTACAGTAATTTTTGTCAGTTTTTGACTAACCTCAAACACGATAATGAAGGCCAATCGAGCAGCGAGGATATGCCAGTATTGTAAGGTGAACTCATAGGGTTTGGAACTCCAAGGAGGACCTCTGTAGTCTCGGTATCTAAAATACACACACACACACACACAAAATCGAAAAACAGACCAAAATATGGAGGTTCCAAGTGTTCTTGATTTGCTAAAATCCAAAATGACAGTTTAAATGTACTCATTAACATGTAGAGGGGAGAGATGGAACGGTGAAAGCAAGAAGAAAAGACATCTATAATTCATAAGTCAGTACCTGCAATAACCAGACTTTCCCATGCCAAGCTCACTCAGGTCAAAGAAGGACAGGCTATTGTTGACATATCCCTTTAAACAACTGGGAGGAAAGAAATGTATCATGTGATTCAGAGATTCATAAAATTCTAGTCCAATTTCTTCATTACGAATGACAGGATTTAATAAGTGCCATTATTCCTTTCATTCTTAACTCCTAGCATCTCAGTCTCTCTGATTGTATTTCCTAGCTCCCGTTACATCTGTAATTGTACATTTATGAGACAGATTCTCGTCTGCAACTTTCAGTTTCTATCTTATCCTTTCATTTGGCTTACATTTATTATTTGCTATGTACTAGGCATTGTAGTAATTACGTCCTATGGATTAAAACACTACAAATATATATTTTATAAATATGCATTTAATACTATTTGGTTAATTATAATTAAGCAGGCAATCAATAAACATGTTTATTTGTGATTTATTTATTAATTTATTCAATACATATTTATTGAGAATCTCAATTTGTTAGAAAAATTCTTGATGCCTGGTATTCAACCATGAACAAAACAGGCAAAAATCCCTATCCTAGTGGTCAGGGTGGATTTTTACAATAACCTTAGGACATATATATTTTAATTTTCATCATATAGATTAAAGAACTAAGGTTTACAGAGACTAAATAACTTTTTCTAGGCCTTATAATTCTCAAAATTTGTGGTCTCAAGTACCTTTTACATTTTTAAACATTATTGGGGATATCAAAGAGCTTTTTTCATAGGGCTATATCTACTGGTATTTAACACATTAGAAATTAAAAGAGAAATTCAGAAAATATTTATCTAATAATTCATTTAAAATAACTACCAGATCTGTTTTAAATTTAAAAAATACACTTTAAAGAAAAATAGCTGTATTTTCCAAAAGAAAATTGTAGCGAGAACAATGACATTGTTTTGCGTGTTTGCAAATCCCTTTGATGTCTATTTTAATAGAAGACAGGTAGATTCTCATATTTACTTCTGTGTTAAATCTGTTGCAATATATTGTTTTGGTTGAAGAGCAAGTAGAGAATCTGGTCTCACAAAGCTAAGTAGTTGGAAAAAGGACTATTTTAATAGCATTTCAGATAACTGTCAATATCTTTCTTTGATATTACACATAAAGTGCAAATGTGGTCATTTCTTAAAGTTTAGTTGTAATGTGGAATCTAAGTGTTATTAGTGAAGTTTTCATATGAATTTTATGTTAAAATCCATAAGTCTATCTTAAATTTTTAATTCATCTTTTGTTTAATTCATCTTTAACATCAAATATGGGTCATTTGGAAAATATTTGTTTGCCGAATTATTCAGATATTCCAAATGTTAATATATATTTCACAATAGACTATGAAAAGCCACAAATGTTAATACAACCATTGATTTTCATTAGAAAAAAATAATCTATAAGTTTTGGGAAACTTTCAAGGTCACAGTGGTAGATAAATGTTATTAAAAATTCTAATTTTCACTTTAAAGCTTGAAATATATTAATGGCAAAAATACTGTCAATTAGTTTCCTTAAAAGAACAAGTTAGTTTTGTGCATTTTAAGAAAAAGTGTCTGCTAAATACACAGCCTTCATAATTACACTTTGGTAATCATTCTGTGTTAAAAAAGTTTGTTGAGTTTGCAACTCTAACAATCCGCACAAGTATTTTATATACACTTTGCATATTGTCAAATAGAATGCTGAAAAGACATTTATTCAAGGGTAAAGATTTGGTAAAATTAATAATTATTACTGCTTGATCGAGGACATTCTGTAATTTCTTACTGGTGCTTTTATAATGGTGATTATATAGCTGAGAAATACAATCATTTGCAGTACTTTTTCTTGCCACTGTCCTGAGTTATGCAAAGTGACCAGAAAATTTTATCCCCATTGCTTTTGTACTATCAGTGCAAATGTTAATATGGTGAAAAAAGGAAATTATGTCTTCATATTGTTATTAAAATAGTACTGACCTCATGGACCCTGAAGGAGATCTGCAGACCACACATTGAAAACCAATGCCAGGATAAACGGTTGTCAGAACCTGATTCCAATACACATCTGTTTCATTATAAACCCTGAATTCTTAATTATAGAACTATACTAGCTTCACTCCATTCCCTGCTTACCTCATAATTTATGATTTCAACTTGCCAATACCCTCCTCTTCATTGCCATCTTATCCTTTTGTCATCTTGCTCTGAAAATTTCTAGTCTGAATGAATCTATTCCAATTTAGCTGCTAAGCATTAATAACAGGGATCCTATGTACTTGTAGTTTCAACTTCACATAAGCCTTCTGCATCTCTAGTCACTCAACATGGAGATAGAGTCTGGTGCGATCTACCTGAAAGGCAGGCCCTGAAAGTAAAGGGATACCCAACCGATCTAATTTTCTTCTGCCACTAGGTGGCAGGAAAGACACCAGCAAATACCGCGGTTAAGAAAGAGGGCTGCCAAATGTGTCTACTTATTTTAAAGCTTTAAAATCTGCTCCTAGAGAATTCTGAATTAAGAGAAATGGGATTTTTTCAATATTAATACTAAAAGTACTTTATATTTTTATAGTGTTTTACAGTACATAAAATGTTAACTTCAGGCACTATTTCTTAATCATAGGCCCAGACTGACGAGGTGCCTTTGAGTAAAAGGCAAAGTTAGAACTTGAACTTAGGGGTGTTTGATTTCAATTTAAAAATCTTTGGACAAGACTCTAAAAATATGAAATAAAATCTCATGTTTTATTATCTCTTTTTGAAAAACTGAAACGTGTATTTTCAGACAAGCGTTTCAGTGTTCTGTGAAAACGTCAGTTCAACAGTAGAGCTAAGGGTTGACTTCATCCTAAACCAGGGCTCAGCCTGTTAGGGCACATGTCCTGCATCCAGATAAGACACATGCCCAAAACTACTCCTGAAGGAAGAAGGAGAAGCAGCTTCTCCTCTCACTGCTATCTCCTATCACGACTTCCTAAGGCTAATCGCCAGCTAGAACTCCAATTTCTCTCTGTTCCCCGAGTCCAGTATTCTCTTGCATTCTTCCTTAATTACTGCCTTCAGGAAGGAAAGAGCTGAAATACCCATAGCCCCTAAAGCAGTGGTTATAAACTGGGTGACTCTGTCTCCCAGGTGACATCTTGCAATGTCTGGAAACATTTTTGGTTGTCATGACTTGGGGAGTACGGAGGTTGCTAGCAGTATCTACTGGGTTGGGGCCAAGACGGCCTTTAAACATACTGTAATGCACAAGACAGCTAGTTGTAAATTCCTTTAGAAAAATCTTTAGTCATATTCTGACAGTTTCTTCATATTCTGTATTTTTTTTCACCAAGTTTGATGAACAGTGTGGACCTCAATTTCCCCATTTACATAGACAGAAGATTGCACTGGATGATTTCTACAGTTACTTCCATTCTAAATTTGACTCTTAAATACATTATAACATTCTTTAATACTCTGATGGCAGTGATACACTTCCAAGTCAAAATATAGAGAGACTCTAAAATTATTTACTGGAAAACATCATTGCTCTTATAACCCCGCTTGATTTCATTCAATAAATACAGTATAAATGCAATGATCAGAAACATTGCCCTTAATGGTTACAGAACAAAACTTCCCAATAAGTTCTCATTTTAATTACAAACATAAAATATGTCAGGAAAATGTGTAAATTTCAACCTTACTTTTCACCATATTCAAAATGACTTGCACAGGGGCCATATTTGTATTCGTAGACAAAACGTGGGATGTAATCAGATGTAATAGCAATTACAAATGCATTGGTAATCACAGCCAATATACCAATTCCTTCAAGAATTCCATACCAGATACCTAATAGGAGAAAGATTAAAAATAGTGAATAATACAAAAAAATTAAAATCCTCTAACCTCTCTTACATTGGAAAAAATGTTTTACTTATGTTGGAAGCATAGCCCTGTCCATTATTTAATTCGTTGGTATAGTATCTCACTACAGATAAAACAGCTATTGAATACTCTTCCACAAAGGGAAGGTAGACCTCTATCCAGAAAGATTTGAAAATTAAAATATCATTGGGAATGGTTCATGTCTATAATAATGAAACATGGCACAATTGCTTCAAAGCCTAAATAGAACTTGCTGAGGTAATAAAAACAATAAACAAAACTCTTCAAGTTCTCCATCATTGGACCAAGTCTGAAATAATTGTATTCACCATAGGTTTTGCCTTTATCTTTGTTAAGTGACTTCTTAAATTAAAAATACAAGAAAGTAAAACTAGTTTTGTGTCAAGATCTGAAAATCACTAATTGACATTTTCTACTTCTTAAGAGGCCAATCTGACATCATTGAGAAAGCTTTTGAAGTTGCATATAGTAACAATATACTATTGATTATAGACAAAATTATATTTCAAATAGTATTAACTTAGCTTTAAAAATACTGATATGTTATATATAAAGCAAAAAGTCCTGGAAAAAATATTCAAAGTGCTGGATAAAGGTGATTGGATAGCATGACAACTTCTCTGTCTGTCCTCCCCTATACACACTTTTTGTTTTTCAAAATCTTTATAGTGTGGCTACATTCAGTTGCAAATAAAAACATGAAAACAAAAATGATGTTAGCATTCCCTGGTTTGGGAGATAATAAGACCAAGATAGCAGAATTCATAAACAAAACCACTATCTGAATACATCAAAAGTTAACATATATTTTTATAAAAATAACAATATTCAGTCAAAAGAAAACAATATCCAGGGAGAAAATATGTCCTTCACAAAAAAAGGAAAAATAGTTATTATACCTAATATACAAAAATGAATTAAAATTTTAATAAAGCAAGAGAAAAATGGGCAAAGAATCCAAGAGAATTTGGTAAGAAAATGCAAATAACCAATAAATATATTAAAAAGTTTTCGATCACTAGTATTCAGAAAAATGTCCTTAAGGAAAACATTTTTTTTTCTTTTAAATCCACCAGATTGTTGAAGATTGAAAGTCTTATATCATCCAGTGCTATTTAGGGGGTTAGGAAAACAGAAACTCTTACGTAGTTGTTTGAAGTATGACTTGTTACAACATTTGTGGCAATTAATCTGATATCTTTTAAAATTAAAATATGAATACATTTCTCCTACTTTTTGGGATCTATACTACAGACATATTGTACATACATATATATGGATATGTGATATGTAATGTATATATAATATCTATCTCTCTATATTTACTTCTATATCTATAGCTATATTTATGTTTATTCCTGTTTGTAATGGGAAAGTTTAGTAAATTCAGTAAATGAAAATTTAGTAAATTTAGAAAATTTAGTAAATTTAGTAAGATTTATGATACATTCATATTATGATTATTACTACTCTCTTAAAATGTATTGAGCTAGAAGATATCCATGAAGAAAAAAAAGCAGAACCCTATATATGTTCATAAGTATTTTTTTTTGTATATTTGTATGATAAGAAAAACACGGATAAAGGATACATGCCTAATTGATTTCATTGATTCCTTGAGGTAGAAGGGAAAGGTAAATGGAGAGAGAGGATTATTATTGACTCTTTTTATATCTTAGTGTTGTCCGGTTTGAACAAGACAATCTAGCAAAGTTTAAAAAATAGTAATCTATGCATTGGAAGGTGCAATAAACACTAAAGCTAAACTTGGAGTTTTATTTTTTCTTCTTTGATTTATTTTTTTAGATTTTCTTTATGGTGCTTACATTTTTAAAAGAATAAAATAATGAATATATCCAAATTAAATAACATCAAATTAAAATAATAAATTTTAGTTGCTTCAAAAAATGGGAACTCAGATTGAATGGCATGAAATCTCTACAGATTAATATATTCTGTTGACTTTGATGGTTGTTGAATATATAAATGGCAATATCAATTGAAAGGATAACCCTTTAGCAAGAAAATTCCCCAAAAAGTATAAATTAGCTTTTCCACATACTTAGAATTTCTATTACAAAACTACAGTTTATTAAAACAGTATACCAAGAATAAGTAGTCAATCAATGAGACAAATGGAGATTCTAGTAACATGCCTAAGTTTATGTAGAATTTATTATAACAGAGATAATTCAAACAAGTTTTTTAAAAACAATATGGATGATTTTGGGGAAATCAGCTATCCATTAGGAAAAAAAGCTGGATTTGAATTTTAATATCTTTTATTAACAATGAATTCCAGATAGATCAATATTTTAAATAAAATCATAAAATGGCAACAAACAAACAAAAGTCAAACAACACATGTGGGTCTAAAATTCAAAACAACAATTAAAACAATGGGTGAAAATCAGGAGGACCTTTTTAAGAATGCCATAAATAATAACTATATAACAATTTGATTTTATATACACTTTAAAGTCTTATTCATTATAGAGTAAAAAAATTAAAAACTAGCATATGAAAATGTTCATAACACATATAAAAGGTGAATATTCTTAATATGATAAAGATTACCAAATCAGATATAGTGGCCAAAGGATATAAATACAATTAGTAAAGAAGAAATACAAATATATTTAATCTCTAGTTATAAAAATGCAAATAAGTATAACAAGGTATCAGTTTTTCCTCTTCAGATTGCTAAGTATGTAATAACATTTGGAGTTGTTGAGGAAATACAGAAATGGGCATTCTTTCACTTATGGTAGGAGTATAAACTGGCACAACATTTCTGAAGAACATGACAAATTATAAAAATTTTAAATGTATATGCTTTTTGATACAGGAATTTTATTCTAGGAATTTATCTTGAAGAAATAATCAGACAAAGTATAGACGAAGATGTTCACCTCAGTGTTGTTTATAATAGTGAGAAATGAAGCAATCTGAACATCTCTAATTAGGGGACTGATTTTTTTTTTAATGTCATACAACATGTAATAGAAATCTGTACAACAATTGTAAAGAATGATGCAGAACTCTATTTATTAACTTAGAAAGATATATATGAGATCCCTTGTAACTACTTGTTTGTAGTTACAAACAAGTTTATGAAATAGCATGCTCAGTATGAACCTACTCTCAACTAAGTAAGTGTCCATTTCATTCTTTTGTTAACTAAAACTGCTCAGTTTTGTTATGGCTGGAAGGGAGCTCCAGCAATAGAAGCACACATTAGTGTTAAATAAGATCAAACCACATTTTGGTCCTAGCAATGCAAACACTTTTAATTCCCGAATCTTACCTATGTCAGTTGCTCGAGCTGGCAGAGGCCTCCGCCACTGTGTGACAAATTTGTATGCATCCAGCCTGATTTCAATGATATTGTTTAACAAAGCCAAAAGAGGGGCCAGAGGAAAAGCCGCAACAAAGATGGTGGTAAAACCAAACTGTAAAACTGTAAAGGGAGAACATAAGAGAATTAGTAATGTAAACAGGATCATTTATCGAATGTCTTCTTTGCGCCATATTAGGTGCTTTGCTTAAGTTGCCCTTCAACATCCCTACAAGGTAAATATACTTATCGCATTTTACGGTTGAGAAAATGATAGCTCCTATGTGTTAAGTAATTTTGCTTAAGGGTAGAAAACTAGAAAATGTTAAAACCTACATTCAAGCTCAGATCTCAATACACTGAAAGTCTATGTTCTCTCCACCTCTATGCTACACAGCATGAAGGAGAAGTAGAGACAAAAGGAGTCAAAAAGGAGGCCTTGAATAAAAATGCTGAGCTCTGGAAGAGACCCAAGAGACCTAACCTTCTCCTCTCTTTTTATGGATGAGAAAACTGAAGGCAAGAGAACAAGCAAATGTCAAGATTTTAAAAATCACACAGTGATTTTTTTAATACTTAGAATGGGAATCCTTATTTTCTTAATATAAATATGTTTCTCAAAGAAGCCAAGGCTCAGACTAGGTCTGTGCAAAGGTATATTGTGAAAAAGAATTATAGCTTTATTTGGGTGGGATAGTATATTTCTTAACATAAGAATGAGTTCAGCTTTATTTTGTTCTTTTAAAATATTGCTCAAAAGCTAGGTGATTCATTATGAGAAAAATCTCTACTTAGGTTAAATGTTATGGCTGACAGAGGACAAAATGTGTGAGCCTTCCAAGGGCACCGCTTTCATCTCTTCTCTAGTTCTGCTGAGATAAAGGTGCAGATGCGTTTTAAGATGCTTGGAGTTGGAAAGGAGAGAGAGGCTTTTCTTTCTTGAGCCAAAGCCTGAGTGAAATAGAAAAACAGAATCAGGAAGTCCTCAGAAGGTTCTTCCTTACCCATTTCTAAGTATTCATCCATCAGTCCATGAATATTCATGGGCTGCAGATTCCAATCATTTTCCCACTGAGGTATAGATGCATCTTGGATTCCCCGCTTGATTTTATGTCTTGACCACCAGTTCTGGATCAACCTACACCACAGAGCAGACGAAGGGCTCTTGTTTAACCATTTAGTGAACAATTTATAGTGTATTAAGAAAAGAGAAAACACCAACTACCCTGGGATTACACTAGGCATTCTTAGGAATTGAATACATTTGTGTATGGTCTCATCTTTTAAGTTTAGCATGGGAGAATAGGCCTCAGTCTTCTATAACTCAACTACACCCTATTAACATCTACATATTTATCTAGAAATTAATCCCCTCATATACCTAGATGCTTCCTGATATTGCTTAGGTGAACATGTTTCTATGATTCCTCCTTATACCCACCTACATAAATACTTAAACTCCTATGTTGCCTGTTATGATTGCATCTGAGCCCTTTGTTGCTCATAACCCACAATCTTCTGGGCTGTGCTCTCTGAACATGAGTAAAATCATGTTTCACATTAAATAACTGAGCCTTAGATAGGGTTTTAAGACATGTAGATTCTAGTCCCCATCCTGCAATGCATCAGCTGTATGACTTTTAACAAGTCACTTCACAAAAGGTTTGAGCATTTAGTGATTACATTCTGCTACTATAGTGAACAATAATTTATAGGCAATGGTTCTGTGTTGAGTTTAGCTCAGTAGTCTTGAAATTTTCTGACTCAGAAACATCCTGGTATGCATACACTGTAGATTTCTGAGTAATAAATTATTTTAAGTGTTAAATGAAATTACCTATAGAATGAAGTAAATTTCAGAGGACTCAGTGACTAATACCCACTCTGAATTTTAATTAATCATGGACCTAGGAACTCAGTGAGAATTGGAAGAACAACCACATATGGACCAGAATGTCAAGCAGTGCTTCACTGTTGAGTCTCACGGAGGCTGCCATTGGGGCCCCATGAAAATGAAAAAGGGGCTGGAGGTTGAGACTGAGGCAGGTGTGCACCTTTCTTTTTTTATTAATTTCAGTTCTGCTTAAGATTTTACTTGAAGAAAGAGAATTAAGGTTTAAAAGTTTGAAAATCATTGCTTTAGTGACTGGCCCACACCTGCTAGATTTTCTTCAGCAATGCCCTTGCCCAGCTATTGGGAAAATACCAACGGGATGTCCCTTGCTATTGTACACTTGGGATTTGATATGCATGATCCAGGCTGACCACTGGACAAGGCCATGGTGAAAATGTGCTGTCCAAAGTGTATGGTATGTATAAAAGTCCACAGATAATAATAACTATAAAAATCATTCTTAATACTGTACTGACCACTACACAGTCTTGATGGTGTTTATGAAGTATTCACAGCATGTCAGATCCTGTACTAGGTACTTAATACCTAATTTCCTCAGGTATTTTCAAATTATGTTCCCCAAACCCTATGTTTCAAAGAAGTAAGCCAAGGATAGGAAGGGATATCAAGAACAGACTAGGTTCTCCAATCTTTCATCCCTTATTCTCTCTTCATTTAGAAGATATTTATTTCAATCTGTTATGAACATTGAGGATCTGTATAAAAATCTCTTCACAGAAAAGTTCTGTCATTTATTGATGAAGGTTTAATGAGCATCGAGTCATCTCAATCTTTACAAGTCTTTTAATTTACAAATTAAAAAAAAGTCTCAGAGAGGTCAAGAAAATTATAAGCATCTTTTAGCAAAGGGTAGAGAAGGAATTTGAACTGGGTTTCGGTAACTTCATAGTCCATGATCTAAGACTGCCTGTAATTTAACACAATACTTTATGGCAGATTTCAGGGTTAATATCACCTCTCTAACCCTAAGGTCTACGCTTAGGAATGTCTGATACCATTTGTGGGCCAACAGGATAAAGAATCATGATATAATTTAATAATTAAGACTAAGCTATTTATATCATCAATCAAGTAACCTGTTCTTCCCCCACAGCCAGGAAATTCTTCAAAATAGTCATGTCTTTAACCTTGCTTAGGCCTCAAAGTTTCCACGCCACATGTTTTAAACACACGATATTTCACTGTATTCTGAAGGGTAATAATATATTTTAATAGATGTAAAAGTGGGCATTCAGCATTCTTCCATGTCAGCATTTCAAAGACAGTTAAAACTCATCTAAAGGGACAAAATATAGCGCTATTGATTTGATGTTATCAGAATCAATTCTGTTCTAATGATTTTGTGTGTGTGTGTGTATTTGTGCGTGTGTAACAAAGAGCACCAAACCTTGCCCATCCATGATTTTATCTTTGTTTTATTTTTTGAGGGTGTGCGTACGTGCAGAAATGGAGTCTCTCTTCATTAAACAACAACAACCTTGGTCTTTTGATAGCCAAAAGAAACCAGAAAGTTATTGTTATCCTCAAAAACCTATACTATCAATAATGTTTGAAGAGTAGAAACAAGTCTTAATATGTTGAGCAGAGTACTAGTTACTCTACATCTATTATTTCCTTTAGTCTTTACAACTATTCTTGCGGTTGATATAGTGGTTGATTCCCTCATAGGAATGTGAAAACTGAGGCTCAGAAAGTCTTATCAACATACATACTTGTCACACATTTAATGAAAAGCAGAACAGGAACTGAACCATCATCTCTCTGATGGCCAAGCCTAAATTTTTAAGAACTATTCACACCACCTCTATCTTTCTTCTTAGTAATTATATAAGGCAAGCTTAAAAATAAAGTGCTCACGGGTATCCCAGTTCCATAAAGTTGTTCCATATTTGCTTCAAAAACATGATAACTCCCATCTGGAGGCAGAGGTCTATCAAACAGCCACTAGGGTGACACTGAAACAGGATGACAAGAACAGTAATGATCTTTCTCTTCTTGGTTGGCTTAGACATCTCCACCTTCAAATTGTAAAGCACATTCTAACCAGGTCACATTATCTCAATGAATACAGAAAACAGAAACAAGAAAGCAATGGCATGGATGAGGATACTTGGTATGGGAGTTTTCAGGATTTACTAATAAAAATTGTAATAGCAATAACAACAAATCTCACTTTTAATGAGCATTTATTATCTGCTAAGTTCTGTGTTAGTACGAACACCTTAAATGAATGCTCTGGAATACTATGTATTCCACACATATCATACATAATATACATATTATATATACATACACATACATATGTGTATGTGTATATATATATATATATATTCAGGAAATAGAAAAATATTTAATTCTATGGCAAAATGGTTATAATATATTTTTTTAAATAATTTTCTCAGAATATTTTAAATTTGTGGAAAATTTGCAAATATAGTATAGCGTCCATATACCCCTCACCCAATTCCCTCCATCGCCCCTTACATTACCAATGTATATTTGTCAAAGCTAAGAAACCAACATTGCTATTAACTAAACTCTAGACTTTATTTATTTAGAGTTCACCAGTTTTTCAATTTATAACTTCTTTCTGCTCTAGAACCCAACCCAAGATGATCCGAGGTTAACAGTTATATTAACCTTCATCACTTGATTTAGTGTTTTCCAGGTGTTTCTACCACAAAGTTACTCATTTTTCCCTTTCCCTAGTCTTTTCTTTAGAAGTAAGTCACTAAGTCTAGGCTACTCTCAAGATGGGGGCAGGTGTTAAGCTCTCCCTCCTGGAGAGGGAGTACCTACATATATCATAACATATTTTTAAGTAATAACAGCATGCCACAAAATAGTTTGCCAGCACAATCCCAATTTTGCTTTCTCTTTGCTTCTCTGTTTTTTTAAAGATGTTCAGTATAAGTTATCATCAGAAACCTCCACAAAGAAAAACGTGATTACAATGAAAATTATAATCAATGTGTTTTACTTGAAAACTTTGCACTGTAGAAGATATTTTGGTAGGAAAGCGTGGGTCTCTTTCTTTGGAAATGGGTTCATGTCCTGATCATAAAGATGATAGACTCTATACCTTTGATCCACAGTTTCTATTTCTATCAAATCAGTACCAGTGGGACTTCAAAGGGAACAAATAATTAGGACACGAAGAGCCTGCTTTTCCAGTTCCAGCCCAGTAATTTAAAACTCCCTAATCTGAGCCAGAGAGAAGGTTTTCCAGTGGTAATTTTTATTGTGTGGAGAAGTCTCAGTTCTCCCATCCAAGCATGCCCCTTGATGAATTTTGGCCCCCTGAACTCTGCCATATATATATATACGATAAATGGGTCTGAGGCAGAATAATTAGTAAGCTGCAGAGGCAGATCACAGGTCATAGCTGTAAGGTGAAACTCATAATTTTTGCAGAGTATCTCAAAGAAGCATATTAACTTGGCCAAGGTCATACAATGCTGACTGGTAGTGTGGAAATAAAAGCCTTGGTCTCCTGCACCCTAATCCACTGCTTTTTTTTCCATAATGCTAAGGATGAATTCTATTTACCAAATGTGTTTGTTTGTTGCCTTGAAGGGCTGGTTTAGCAAAGCATATTATTATGTGGGAAAGGAAAAAGAAGACCACTATAGAACCATGTGGTTGAATCACTCTTCGCAATGGTAGGCCAAAGTGGGGAGGCTGAGTGACAGGCCATTTATAATTTTGTTGAAATTGAGCCTTGATGACTTTGTGATTTACAGGGCAGTGAAAGGGATCCAACAGTTTTGGTGGGTCAGCTCCCCTCATCTAATGATTCCCTTGAGCTAAATCTAGTCCTCCATACTCTAAAATTCATTTGGTAGAAAAGAGCCTATACTTAGAATAAAAAGCATGAGTGAGCATGTAGGAGACGCAGACTTTCATTGCCATTGCACCACTCAAAATCATATGACCATGGACAACCCAAAGCTCAGTGCCTTCACATATTTTTCTCATTTGCTCCTCATAAGAACATGGTAAGATGGGTGTTGGTATCTCCATTGTGTAGATGATAAAATTTAGTAGCAAACTGGACTATCAGACTCCAATATCCATGTTCCTTTCATTTCAGCTCCCTCCTGCACCCTGTCTGTCTTCTCTTTTTTCTCAGTCCCCGCTCCCCCATTCAGGTACCCGGTTTGACTTGGTCGGCTGGCTTCCGACAAGTGCCTTCACATATTTTTCTCATTTGCTCCTCATAAGAACATGGTAAGATGGGTGTTGGTATCTCCATTGTGTAGATGATAAAATTTAGTAGCAAACTGGACTATCAGACTCCAATATCCATGTTCCTTTCATTTCATCCAATTTTGTATGTTAATTCCAAATCCAATTACATTTGCGAGCCAGCAATCATTCAGGAATCTCTTATGAAAATCAATTTCCATTATGTTCTCAGTTGGGCCTATCTGCTACCCCAATGGTGTCTGAAAAGCACACTGTTGAGAGCACAGACTCTGAAGCTAGGCTGCCTGGGTCAAATTGGTATCAATTTGATAATTTCATAAATTTACAAGTATGTTCCTATCATTATATGCAAATTATATAACTTCCCTAAGCTTCTGTTTTCTCATCTGTAAAATGAGTGTAATAATAGAATTTTTGTGAAGATTAAATGTATTAATATATGTAGAACACTTAGAAACAACTGCTAAAACGTGCTGGCATATGGTAAGCACTCATTACATATTAGCTATTATTAACATTTTATATAGATTTACAAAACATTTTTGTGAGATATTGTACAGCATGGTATGAGGAAAGTCCAGTATAGCTGTTTATAAATATTCTAAATTGTAGTACAGTACTTTTTTTTCTTTTTATAACAATTACCATTATTCGTGCCAAGGATTTTACATGCATAATCGAATTTAATCCACCCATCACCAGTACTACTGAAATAGTTTTTCATATCACAGTTTTACAAAAGAAAAAACTGAGACTTAGAGATATTTAAGATCATGCATTTGGGTAGGACGGAATTAGAATGTAGATTCAAAATACAAAATATTTGTTATATATCATGGTTATGTTCTTTTCTTTAAGACTATTAACATCATGAAAGAAAGGAAAGAGACTTTTTCATTTGGACACCCCATATTACCCAGCAGAGGCCTAGAAGAGAGTACATGTCAATAAATGCTTGTTGTATGATTGAATTCAGAGGGTCAGTTCTTATCTTCCATTATGTATACTGTTTATATCTACACTTCAAGGATTTCTAGGGCCTATCACAAACCCATATTTTCATTTCACTGATTTTTTTTTAATCAAAATCAATAATCTTTTGTTGAAAAATTTGGCCACTATCTGTCACATATATTGTGGAAGATATCTAGGATGGTTATTAAACATTTTTCCTGACACCAGTATTGTCGTTATTTCCTTGGGATTTTCAAAGAATCAGGACTTTCAATAATTGCATAATTAAGAGTAAGAATATCCAAATCAACAAAATTATTTGTGGTAGCAGTCCCTACAATGGCATCAATATGCAGATATACCTGCCTGTAACCACTCTGTTCCCCAAACTACCCTTGTTAACTCCAGTTGGACACTCCAGGAAAAAAGTAAGCATCGATTCCCAAATTGGGTAGATGAAAAGCCTTTTAGCAGATTTAGTACTTCTGGGCTACGAAGGAAAACTACAAGTTCGATTTGAAGGCTTCCCAGAAACCTGGGATTTTGAAAGACCTTAGTCTGTCTCTGGCCAGTAAAATAATACCCGGGTAGCTACAGAGACAGAGCACAGATAAATATCAACTACAATTCACAGAGTGCCTTACACAGGCCAAGGGTTGTGCTAATTATGTTATGATAATTATCTCAGCTATCATCAATTTTGCAACCAGGATTACTACTGCCAGTTTACAGATGGGGATGCAAATATGCAGAGAGTTTAAATTAAGGGCAACAAATTAATAAGTAGCAAGGTTAACATTTGAGGCCAGTTTTCTATAATAGAAAGCATACGTTCTTACAAAGTTTTAGGTTTTCTCCATGTATTCTCTTTAGCATACCTAAAATTCCCTATATCTACCTGTTTCTCTCTCTTCCCACCTCCCTTCTTTCCAGTCATTGGCCCGAATCCATGCACATCCCCACACCCACCCTTACAAGGTTACTTACTTCCTCTAGTCTCCACCGGTTAAAAAGTTTATTGTAATTTCCTGGGTGGCCTACAAATCTGTAAAAAGCCATTTTAATTCATTAGTATTTATGTGGGGTTGACTGAAGAACCTCTACTAATATATCACAACGAGTCCATGTGTGGGTAGATATAAATGTTCATCGGTGCAACCTGTCCCCAGACTGTTGACTTAGGGCATGCTTACACATCAAAGTACCTGACTTAAAAAGAGAAAAGTGTCATGTAAATTCAATACCAATGGGTTGGGAAAGTACAGACAAACCAACCGAATGATATTTTTCATTTTCATGGGTAGTTTTAATGTCTGTTGACTTAGTTAATGAATATTAATATAATGTGCTGAATTATTTAGCTTAAAATATTTCTAGCTTCAGTATGTTTCCATGACACTGGCTGGACTGTTAAGCATATGGCAAACCAGAACCAGTAGTTTAATTTTTCATATTTTGCAGCAAAGACAGAAAATAAAAAACCTTTTTAACACAAGAAGTTTCCACATTAAGGAATCATACTATAACCTAAGGTTACACAAAAATTATTTTCTCATTTAACAAAACCATTACTGATGATTGGATAGTCATAATTCAAACCAAGTATGGCACATAGGTTTTTTTTTTTTTGCCAACTTTAATTGGAAATGCACCAGAAGGTACTGTACTGAGAAGTCTTTTGATTAAAAACGCATATGAAGACTGATTAGCACAGTTTTCCAAGGCAAGGGATAAAAAAGTGCCACCTTTGTTAACAGATTGGCAATGGAACTGTAGACCTTTTTTATCATTCTGCAAAGATTATGTGTATAAAGTTGACTTACCTCCCCAAAAAGAAAGCAATATAGAAGATAGAACTATTTAAATTGACAAACTGGAAGAGGAACATCTTTAGGGCAAAGCTGTTTTCCCATTCAGATTCTGTTCGAGGAAATTCTAAAAGAAACACAGGGTATGTTTACATAGATGAAGTGAATGACAAGAAATGTGGAGGTGGAATCAGAAACCTCTTGTTTCAGTTCAGGTTCAGTCATTTACTAGTTCTGCGAGGCACTCAAAGGCTCTGTGTTCTAGTATCCGCATCTGTAAAATGTATATAGTAACATCCGCTCTACAGAGTCGATAAAAGGATCCAATGGGACAATCTTCCCTACAGCTACAAAAATGTGATGCCTGTTATTAAAGTAAACTACTTGGGAGGGAAAAAACCAAAGAACTGAAAAGGCAGAGAAAAAAGCACTCCAATGCAGGAAGAATGAAGTTTGCTGATTTCTAGTAAGGAGATTTTGTGACTACATACATTGCCTCTCTATAGTCATGGGATGTAGCCCAATATTCTATGCCACCTCTTTCCTTTTTATTGACAGTTATATAACTGAAGTTGATATTAAAAACATTAAAGTACATAAAGCAACTACAGACTGGTATGCTCATATGTTATTCTCTTACTAAGGAGTGAAGAAAAATGGACATACCTAAATTAGTGAGAAGGTAAGCAATTTTTTCATAGGCCTGTAATAAGAAAGAATACAGTTACCATTACTTTTTTCTTTAGAAAAGCTGTTATTTACACTATTCGAAGAAACATCTAAAGTGTATTCTACAAAGTGGCTACATTTTTAATCAAGGAGAAACATGTTTTAAAACTATGTAGAGGTTTACATATACACACAAAATGCAGGTAATATAAATATGCTGTAAATATGTGTATATATACAGTCATATTTGCTTTCTGTAATAACAAAGTCTTTTCTGGCAGCTATTTTTATTTCCATGTAATAAATCAAGAAAATGAGGCTGAAAAAAACCCCCCAAAATCCTTTAACTAGTCGATGACTGACCATACATGCTTTTTGACTACACTGGAAGGCTAAGAGGAAGCTTGACTTCTTTACTATTGATAAAGTATTTTCTAAACTACGACAAAGACAGTGTGCAAATTTGCATTCTTAAATAACAAATTGATTTGGCGTTTTTTAAAACAAAATTCATAAGTCAAATCTGTTTGATCTATAAGCAAGGCACATGCACAATAGATAATAACATTTTTCATCTTCTGCCACCTTTCTCTGCTCGACATGCTCTGCCCTCCACTCATGCAGACTCAAGGAAAAAAAAAATTACAATATTCCAAGTAAATATAGTTGGGAAAACTATATTTACTACAGAGAGAAGGGTGACATGTGTTTGTGGGTATATGTGCACACATGCAAATATTACTAAACCTATAAATCTAAAAATTATTCTTTAGATTATAAATTCCAATAACCTTGCCTGTTGGCAAGCAATATTAAAAGGTAGGTATCGGGTCACTTTAGCAACTGCCTATTTTTTCAATGGAACAATTGTAATTATTGTCTTGGTCATAATTCAAATCTACCTCTTCTTAAGATCCAAAGTGTTATCTTGAGACAGAAAGATTACATTGAATACAATAGTCTTATTCTATCTCTAGTGTAGATTTTTATTTTAACTATACCCACAAGTAAATTTTAGGACAAAATTAGCTTGAATTCATGAGCACAAAGTTATCTTGATTTAAAATGTTTTCTTTATCAAGTAAGATGAATACAGAAGGGTTTACAAAAGGTGTAAGATAGGCTTGCCAATCAGCAAATAGTACTTGAGTAGTACTTTGCTTCTAGCACTGAATCCCTTCTGGGGATTGAAAGAAAATTTTATTTAAATAACTGCCATTTAGAGTATTTGGCTAGTGCCAAGCAATGCTTTACATACATATACATATTACAACAATTTCATCCAATAGGTATGTATAAATGATCCCCATTTTACAGAAGAGGAAACTAAGGTTTAGAATGCCAGGTACCTTGTCTGAGATAACATTATTAAGGAAGTAGCAAAGTCAGGATTTGCAATCATGGCTCTCTTATACATCTATGCTATGCCTTGTTATATAAACCATTTCAGATTTTTGTCTTAATACTTACTACATAAAATCTGTCTGCAAGTTTGGGTGGTGATATCTGCAGCTTATACCCCAGGGGTTAAAATAACTTTTAGAGAAATGTTAGAAATCACAGAGATGCCATGGCACCTCTGGAAATATTGCTCTTGAAAAGCATTCTGGGGTACTTGAGAACCTGCATCATCTAAGCCCTAATGCTAGGCACCACCAGGATGATGAGCCACAAAATCTGTCCATGCATTGACTCGTCAACCACAAAGTGCAGGAAGAACCATAGCATATATATCCAGCTGCATGGTGTATGACGGCAATCACTTTGACAGCGCAAGTTTTGCATATGCGTGTGTGTGTGTGTGTGTGTGCGCGCACATGCGTGCCTGTTTGTGTCTGAAGTGAAATGGACATGTATTTTGAGGAGAAGAGAATAAGGGGTTCAGGGTCAACTGTTCTGGTCACTATATAGTAGAGTGTATAGAGATATTATACTCTACTTTCATGGAACTTAATTTCCAGTAGGCAGAGACAATAACAAAAACATATATAACTGGTCAAGAGACGAACAGTACTACAAGGAAAAATAAAGCAAGCTGTGTGGATAGAGAGAGGTATTGGGCAGAGTATTGTTTTACAGAGTGGTCAGGGAAGCCTCTTCAAGAGGCTGGCATTTGAGTAGAGAGCTGCATGAAGTGAGGGAGGGAACCAAGCAGAGATCTGGGCTAAGTACCTTGAGACGCAGTACGGGCAAATGCTCTGAGACTGACATGCGCTTGCAGTGCTTCAAGAAGGGCAAGGAAGTTGGAGGACAGGAGTGGAGGCAGTAAAGAAGCAAAGTAAGAAGAGATGAGTCACGGAGATCTCAGAGTAAAACAATATTTGAGGGCCTGGGAGGCCATAGTAAAAATTTTAGAAATCATTTTGAGCTACAATCATTACCTTTCCACTAATGCTTTGTTTTGGGGTGTTATGTGGAAATCAGTTGGGGAAAAATAAGAAAGGCAAAGGCAGGAAAAGGGCAAGGCTGTTGTGAGGGGCGCATTAAGGAGTTCTACGCTTGTTTTAGTGCTCTTTGCTTCAGAGTTGGAGCCTCACAACCTAACCTTCACTGTAAAAATGAGCTCCAAATAGACTTCTGCAAAATCAAAAAGAGACTGCTCTTTTCCAGTAATCAACCTTTCTGAATTTCTAGAAACTGTGGACATAGACGCGAACAAACTAAATAAATAAAAGCCAGCCCTTTTATTAAATGAGTCATTTGGGATTACTTCCTTTCTAGGTTAAGATGTGTGGCCCAACCCTTTGACCCACCTTATTCCACAATAACCTATTCGTACTGTAATTAGTAACCAGTGGTAACCAGGTATTAAGGAGAGTTAGGTACATTTTGAGGTCTTCAGAGATCAGGCCTATAAAGAAACATAGGAATCTATGCTTTGGACTCCAGAGGTGGAAATAGATCAATAATGTGAAAGAGTCTGGAACCAGCACAGACTACTGATATTAGTCAAATGTATTTAGGGCTTTTGTTGTTGTTGTTGTTGTTATAATGTACTCATTGCATGGTACATGGATTTTAAAATGACAGAAGAAATACCAAAAAGAGTTCATTCTCTTGTGGACAATGTTGAAATGGTTTAATTGGATTAATCCCAGATATTTCAAAGTACAAAGGTACTTCTGCTGTGATATTTTTATTTTTTCTTAAAACTACACATAAATCATGAGACCAGACAACTGTAACCTATTCATAAATGAATTAAGGTTTTATTTCAAGCTATAGGAGTATAATTTTGGAATAACTGTATATTTTAAATTTTTATCAAAATCTTCTTGAAAATATTTCCTGATATGATGGTAACATATGTATGATAATAACCATGCTACCTTTAAGTAGCATTACTATTTCAGGGCATCAAAATAAAAATGAGAAGGATGAGATTAGTAAAAGAAGGACTCCTGGTTTCACATTCTGGCTTTGCAGAATTTTAGTTATATGCTTGGTACGAGATGTTAGAAACGATATGAGTTTTAAATGTTGTTAAATTACTTGGAATTTATATTGGGAAATGTGGTTTCTGATATCGGCTATGTATCAAAATTACCTTAGATCCCTTAAATCAGTGATTTCCTAATGCTATTTTAGGGACTGACTGGATCAGAATCGCTTTTATATTTTTAAATGTATTTTTAAAAATACAGATTGCCTAGCTCCACAAAGGAGACTCTGAATAGGACTTGGTTTTTTTGATTATTTTAGTCCATATTTTCCCCTCAAATCAAATATTTACTTAGAGATACCACCATCCACCTGTTTTGAAAGCTTAAAAAAATGTAAATTCTTTATTATCTTGAATGAAAACAGGTACTGCAAACTTGAAAGATACTAGTATATAATCTCAAGAATAAAAGTAATTTTGAGAACATGAAGTATTAAAAATGCTAGAATATTAGAATACAATAGTCAAAAATTATTCAAATCATATATTCTAAATGTCTTTTAGGCATTAGGCAAAGACCTGAAGATACAAAAATGAAGAAGCTAGAAAGCTATAGCCCTTGTCTATAAGGAACTCACACTCTAACAGTAGGAGAAAAGGCATGTCCCAAGCACTATAACAGAAGAATATTCACAAGAGGGATTATTGAATTCTACCATGAGAATCTGATAAGAAGGGAGAATAGGCATGTCCAAGTACCTTGTGAGAAGAATAAACGCAAAGAAGAAATTATTCAATTTTATATATGGGATTGAGAAAAACTTTATGAAAGTAATCCTTAAATGGGATTTTTAAAGATGAAGAGCTATTCTTCAAGGAAACAAAAGAAAAAAATGGCAGATGGAGGAAACACTGAACTAAGAGACAGGGTTGTGAAGCAGAAGAATGCCATAGCAAGCAGAAGTGGTTTTGTGGCTGTGTAGCATATGAAAGAGAGGAAGCATGACACCACTTTAGACAAAAAGAGAATAAAAAGCTGGCTTTAAATAACAGAGGGTCTCCCATGCCATCCTAATACATTCAGACTTTTTATCAGAGGCAATGGGAAACTGTGAAGCAGTTTCAGGTACAAAATAAATTGATCATATTTGCAATTTAGAGAGATCCTTCCAACAGTAATATGAAAGGGAGATGGAAAGAGTTGAAAAACAGAAACGAGATGACTAACCAGTTAGAAGGCTGCTGTACCAGTCCAAGCTAGAAATGACAAGTAATTGAAAAGACAGTAGAAATGGCAAGTAGAGGTGAGGATGGTGAGCAGGGAATGGATAAGAGAGAGATGTTACAGAAGCAAAATTCATGAGTCTCTGAGATGATGAAAGATATAAAAGAAATGCATGAAGAATGACTTAAGGTTTCTGGATGTGTACATTAAACAGTAAAAGTTCCTTATTTAAAAAATTGTTTGACTGATTTAAACTATTTTGCCATGCCATGTCATAATTTCATGCATATAGATTATAGCTGTAAAGCATATTAGATTAATAGAATATTTTGACAGGTCAAGACCCTCATTTGGGGAATATAGTAGCACAGGGATCACAAACTTGAGCTATTAAAAAACAAAAAGTACATTTTATTAGCTGTATATT